TTTACCTTGTTTTTTTCAAGGTAAAGCTTACTTTAAAAATAGCTAAACTAAGCTAGCAGACAAGGAATTAGACACAAGTTCTCACTCCCAAGCGCTAACCTATCTGCTGCCTCCCCAGGGAGCGCAGTGCTTTGGAAGTCAGAAAACACACGTGATACGCACTATGTAAACAGGATTCAGCCCTTCACTGCCTGAGACATGCCAATGCTTCAGCAATACTAAAAATAAACAATTGCAAGCAACTGCTTTAAGAACTCCAAGGTAAACAGCACAAGTAGCTTAGGAAATATTTACCCAAATACTGAAGTTATAAGACAAGATTTGATCTTAGAGACAGGCATTTGTTGTCATTGCATTTAGCACACGTAGCGCTGCTCGGTCAAGGTGTGCTCTGCTTGAAAGGTCACAACAAATCACAGTTTCCCAGCCCTTTCAGAGGCAGAAGTATATGCTATTGTTTCCTCAACAGGTATAAGACAGCTGAAGCAAAGCAAATCAAAGAATCATAGAATCACAGAATGGTTTGGGTTGGAAGCGACCTCAAAGATCACCTAGTTCCAGCTCCCCTGCCATGGGCAGGGACACCCTCCACTACACAAAGTTGCCCAAAGCCTCATCCAACCTGGCCTTGAACACTTCCAGGGATGGGGCATCTACAACTTCTCTGGGCAACCTGCTCCACTGCCTCACCACCCTCTGAGTGAAAAATGTCTTCCTTAGATCTAATCAAAATCTCCCCTCTTTCAATTTAAATCCATTGCCCCTTGTCCTATCACTACACGCCCTTGTCAAAAGTCCCTCTCCAGCTTTCCTGTACCTCCAGTACTAAAAGTACCTGTAAGATTTGCTTTAGAAGTTTAATAAGCAGCCCTCTTGCAAAAACTTTTATGCTCTGAATCAGGTGTTATTAAACAACTATCAGAAAAACCCCCAAAAACATTGCTAGAGAAACAGTCAGCCCGCTCCCACCATGCAATACATACATCCAGTGAGAGCTGAAAAATAGTCTGCTGTGTTCAAGTGGATTTTTTTTTTCTATTAAAAATAAGAACCATTTGGGAAACATGAATTATTTAGTACAAAACAAACAGAACCAATCCATATTAATGTGCACTAAGCAGCAATTTATGATTCACAACAGCATTTTCACGTACAGCATGCACAAGATCACTCAATAATAGATGAAGCTTTCCTAACGTTACTGGTATGACTACGGGTATCAATGAACCTTAAGTCATTCAAGCTGGTTGCTTTAAACCAGCTCTTGGGAACTGACAGAACTGCCAAAGCACAGCTATGAACTCACTCCTCATTCATTAAAATATTAATGAAGCCAGTAACTGTGGCAGTTTTAAAAGCAGAAAGCGAACCCAAAAATTTAAGTTCAGATATACCCAAAAAGAATGTGAAAGGAAAACCATGTCTTCAGTTGTAGAAAATGATAAACGAGAAAATATATTAAATCAAGGAGGTCAAAAGTAGATGCACACTATATATTTAGAGTCCATTTAAATTCTGAATAGCTTTGCCTACTGGATTCATTTTTCCTAGGCTGCTTAAACTACCGAAGCACTGAATTGCAAGCAAGACATTTCACATAACACCAACTGCTTTAACAACCCAAAAAAATACACAACCTAATTCCACACGTTCTCTTTACACACAATCAAATGTCATGAGTCAGCAGCCAATTATGTAGACTTCTTGATACAAAGTATTTAACAACTAGGTATTTACTGCGTAAATTAAACTTCTGAAATCAAGATGAGAACGTGCAACAATTTCCACATGCAGGAGCATTCTTGTTAATGATAAAGATTCATACCTCTTAACGTTTGTGTAATTTTCATAAAAGCTTCACAACATCAAAACCTAATTCCAGCACTAAAAAGATACTGCCATAAGCAAGCTCAAGTTTTTAAGATCAGATGGGGGAGGGTGGTTTCCTCTTCCTCTCCCCTCCCTGCCCCCCCCCCCCCCCTTTTTTAATTTTAAAGCTCCTCAGACTATTTCACCTTCTAACGTTACAAGTACCTTGCAATGAAAGCATTAAAACTCTACGCATATAAACTAACATGTGCTGCTAGTCACACCAGCAGCCTCAAAACAAGAAAAGTATGCTGGAAGAAGTTGCACAGTAGATGGTATTTTCCAGCACAAGTAAGAAATGAAGAGCAATTATTCCAAAAAGGAATTAAAATTTTAGGGCATAACATATTCAAAAACTTATTAGAGACAGAGGATATAAGTTGTTAGTTATGAATAGTTGTTTGTAATTTTCAAGTCAGTTTTGTTCCATTGGAAAAAAAAAAAGCGGATTTTTGACAAACAGGAAGAAAAACACTAGAGTGGAACAACAAGAAGCAAGCAAAGGTTGTTTCTGTAAGTACCCATCCAAGATGACTGGCTAGCTTGTCCAAAATTGGTAAGATGAACCCTATAAAACAATATTTGGTCAAGTTTTAAGCATTCAAGCCCAGGACAATGATTTCCTAAGTTATATCAGTTACCAAACTGATGTCAGTCCTGTAAAATTTACCCTTAAATTTGAAACCCTCAGAAATTCAAGAACTCCTCTCTTTAGTTCACCTCTCCCCAACAATTTCTAGTTAATTCCATTGGTTCATCTATTTCCATAGTATCAGTAGAGCACAGCAATGGAGAGACCTCTCAAACAGAAGAAATATACAAATAAATTTTTTGTCACAAATCTTCATGTTGGGAGCACCTTGCAACTTACAGGCCAGCTGCTTCCCAAGTCCTCCTGAGCTCTATTTAATGCCTGGAGACCAGATAAAACAAGGAAACAGCACTCTGTTCGTCTTCTATCAGGTGAGCCAACACACACGAATCACTACAACAGGAGGAATGGTTGGTCTTAGAATCTGGGGTAGTCAAAAATGTGACAGAAGTTAAGACCACCAAAGTAAAAATATTTCCAATGACAAGACCATTTATTTTAAAAAAAAAAGTTTAGTACCTTCCTTGGCATGACTTTTCCCTACTCTAGCTCAGCTAACTTACTAACTTGTCGCTCAGTTGTTGCTCACCAGCCTGGGCTGCGGCACCAAGGACGCTGTTGCATCCTCCGCAGCCAGGAGGAAATGGCCTGCCTCTTGTAGGCAGGATCGGTACCTTGAGTTGATTAGTAGTTCATTATCTCAACTCAGTCCAGCTGGGTAAGAATGATTGGTGCCATACTAACTTACACCTGGAACTATAAACCTGAACCATGACCATGAACTATGGGGAACTGGAACTGTGAATCCATTTTAGCATGTTTTCATCCTCAACATTCATTACCTATGAGAACATAGGTACGAGGTTATGGCAACGAATATATATAAAATGTGGGATTCAGGGTCAGCAGTAGAAAAACAGGTCTTCAGTACCCTGAACAACAGCGTGAACAAGTTTAATTATTCCTGATTAAACCCTAAAACCTCCTCCCTGTACTACAGCACCTGCGAAGACAGTCTCAGGCAAGCTCCAGGCATGCGTTCAGCCTGCCAGTGAGACGTGACATATTACGGTTCATAGGGAACACGTTTTGCTCTGATCAAATCTTTGAGAACGTAAAGCATTTCCTACCAGCAGGCATGAGAAAGCAGACCTAATTTTTCATTTCATCAACAAAATCCACACAGATAAGACCTTGTTAAATACCAGTTTAAGAACGCAAACTTCATTAACCATGAAATTAATATGAGTGCAGAATGCCAAACTGCGCACTGTGTGTTTGTACAAATCAACTCCTTACAAATTTAATTATAAAACACTAGTCAAGAACACATTCGTTATGCAGTTCACAGTTAAACAACAGTCTAGCTAACAATCCAGAAGTTAGTTCTAATTAAGCACAGCTTTGGAGTTTCTGGATAATTTATCATTTTAATAGTTTCCAAATGTCAACGTAACTTATCCTTATTCCTAAACATTTCATAATGTGAACGACATGCGTAATTATAATTAGAACAATCTTATTATCTGGAGCACAATTATATCCAGCAATCAGCTGAGTAATAAGAAAATGTAGTATGTTCTGAGCCAACAAGACAAAGAAGGGCATCAGACAAGTGTGGTGAAACGTGCAACTTACTTGGAGGTTACAGATTATTTGTCTAACCTGATACCTTTTTTCCCCCCCTTAACTTTTATTGGCATGCCATTTCAAGAATAGTTGCTGCATTTAGTGACACTAAAATATTAATGATTTGACACTATCAGCACATTAAGCCACCCAATAAAGAGTTATTGCAATCTAGATTCAACAATGAATCGGATATCTAACAAGCAGTTTTACTAAAAAAAAAAAAACAAACAAGGAAATGTACTTTAAGCAGAACTAAACACTATGAAAACATGTTTCTCCTATGGTCAGTAAATGCACAGATACATACCTAACCATGCTACAAAACAAGATTGGTCTTCTGTTTTCAAAATAGGAAACAACTTTAAAATTGTTATTCCTGAATTCATTTCAGGTTATTTGCTTCACTTAAAGGATCAGCTGAGCTGTTCCCAACACTATTATTGCTTGCTTTTATACAACATGAAGTTTGTCAGCAAGATTTGCCTTTTTCTGCAGAGCTCACAATGGACAGACTTTATCCCAACTACGTACTTTATGTACTAAAGAGTACTACAACATTAGCATTGTAAATTATAGGAATTTACTAGGCTAATTTACCCATGTGGTTGCATTTTTTCCCTGCTACAGCTCCTAGTGCATCTCTCGTCTTTGTCTCCCACGCAGATAAGGATGTCACAAGGATACCGAAAGGACTGATGATTTATTCACAACAAACAAGAAACGGCCATGTAACACGGATGCAAGCGACACCTCACCATCTGGGGATACCAAAACACTTGATCATTGCAAGGCACATTTTCCTTGGCTGTGGCTAAAGTGCCCTCACAGGGCTTTTGAGTCCTGCAGCCACTTAACCCGTTGATAACAGCTGTTCTCTAGCACACCCCACCGAGACACCGATCGTTACTGATCACCACGGACTGGGCCCGAGGGGAAAACACCATCTTTCTTCGACCATCACCCCATCCGCCTTCTCCCTCGGGCTCCAGCCGGGCGGGAGGCGACTGCATCGCCCCTTGGCGTGAGTCGCCCAGCCCTGCGGACCGGCTGCCAGGGAAGGGCACCCCCCGCGCACGCGGGGCCGGGAGCGGGGCCGGGAGCGGG